GCCGCTAAATGACCGGCCGTAACTAAAATGTAACGCAATGAACGCATTTCTTTGTTTTACAACTGAGAATTAGGTGAATAGTTCAATACTCCCATTGCAAAATTCACATACAGTTGATGCTTACAATAAATTATAACTACAAGTACCATCTGAATCCACTACTAACTTAATTAGCATTTTGGATGGTGATAACCCACAAAAACTATTGTTTTATGAGACACTTGGGTGATAAAATGAAGTAGAAGAGCTAAGTGCCCTCAAACACAACAAAGTGAGGCTACAGTGGAAAAAAAAGGTTACTTGTAGACAATGGGCCTTACACTGACACACTGAGATACACATTGATACTGCTGGAACGATAAGGTCGGGCAGAGCCAGGCTCCCCAAACTGTTGCCAACAGACTTTTACCAGCTGAGTGAAGTTATAACAAGTATGCAGGGCTGGGAGGAGCCATTGGGCAGGAAAGACATGGCGGCAGTGCCGTAGTGCTGCAGTCAGTGCGTTGCCTGCCCGGCTCCGGTCAGTCTGGTTAAACAAGACCTCGCAGTGCCTCCAGGAGCTGTGTAACTGCGGCCAGAGCCAGCAGGACTTGGGGCAGTACTGCCAGACCTGCCACCCCTGCTTGGCACAGAAGGGTCCCCAGGAAATCTCCCATGCACACCTTCATTTGTTCCAGGCAGGGGCGCCCAGGAGGGGGACCTCTGTTTTGGACCTCTTTCCCTGCTGCGTCCAGTACCCGATAGGTCCTGGAGGCCACAGACTGCTTCACTAAATGGCCTCATACACTGTCATCACCATGGCAGATACCCCTCTGGATGGCATGTCCAGCAGGTTGGGTCTCTCTGGAGGAGCTGCGCAGTGACCAGGGGATGAACTTCGCGTCAGCTGTCTTCGAGGAGGTGTGCCTGTGTGTAGGAATTAGGAATCCATAAGACCCCCAACCACCCTGGTGCGCGTCCAGATTGACGGGTCGATGGAGCTTCAGTCAGACAGTTCCCCACCCTGCCAGCCAGCTACCAGAGAGACTGGGACACACACTGGCCTTTGTCTGCTGGAATGAGCGTCTGATCGTAGGTGATCAGTCTCCAAGACAGGGGGGACAATGCACATGCTGTCACCCAGGGACAGCTAGTAAGATAATAAGATGCACACCAAGCTGGATGGGCCTTTGCCTTCGAGGAGGTCTACAGCCCCCCAGTTGAAGAAGGGGAGCTCTCTGAAACCCTTGCCATCCTGGGACAGCCCCTGCGCTGTGCATGGTCTGCTATCAGAGGTGGTTTGCCTGGCAGGGCCCAGGAGCTGTGGCCAGGTGGTGGTGCTGCACCAGGACTGGATAGATCCCTTTAGGAAGAATAAAGACTCAAAGACAGCCAGCTGCCCAGGGCTGGACAGACCCCTCAGTAGCACTTGAACCCCTACCGGGGCATCCACAACACATCACACAGCACCTAAGCCACTTAGGGGACTCAGGGTGCATCCATTAAAAAGCTCCTTTTGGGGGGCGACTGGGAGATTTGTCCTAAGGTGGAGGCAGTGTGACACCTTGTGGCATTAGTGTGCTATTGCCGTGGATTAAATGCACTGCCTCCTTCCCCAGGCCTGCAGAGAAATAAGAGTGTTATGTGCATGCAAATTCAAGTATATTCCGTTGTGCATGATGATGTGTCACATGCAAGATATCTTCATAATGAGTGTGACCTTCGATTTTTAATATGTTGCATATTTCTTGCTTTAATAATTTGGAGGCATTCGTGTTTAATCGTTTGTACTATACTGCCACACTGTGGTCGCACTTCAGAATGACAATTACAACGAAATAATTTATAAACAATCTAGCTCGTTTTATAATTCAAGTACACTTAAAAACATCAGAAATGCTACAAAGGAGAGGAGTCTGCTTACTCCTCTTGCTTGCTTAATCCTGTAGTCCAGTGGCCTCAACCACTTGGATGGGAAGCCTTCTCCAAGCACCCACAAGGTGTTTCCTGTTCCAGCCATCCATCTATTTTCTAACCACTTCTTCCAATTCAGGGTCACGGGGGAGCCTATCCCAGCAAGCAAAGGGTGCAAGGCAGGGTACGCCCTGGACAGGACACCTGTCCATCACAGGGCACACGCAGACACACGCTCAGTCACACCGGGACCAATTTCCCAGAAGCCAGTTACTGTAACCTACCTGTCATGCCCTCTGCAGCCAGAGGGCGCTCCTTCTCTGTCCTGTCTCCCATTTCCGGTTCTTTGCCGTCCTTCCGGTGTTTCTCTCTCTCTGGGGCTATATTTTTCTGGGTCTTTCATTCTGCCGGCTCTCAGCATTGACGTTCGGATGTCACTGAAACCCGCCGAGCCCCAGGTCGCCCCACGTCCACTACCTGAGGGCATAGGTTTCTGTAGGGCATTTCCTGAGCAGCTGAGCCCGGGCTAACCCCCGTCTCGCCGCTAAGCATGGGGTCTTTACACTCTCCTGTCATTCCACGGTTCGTCCTTCCGTGACACTACTGACTGTGGGAGGAAACTGGAGCACTCAGAAGAAACCCACACGAACACAGAGAGAACATACAAACTCCACACAGACAGCATCCCAAGGACCGAACCCAGTGCTGTGAGGCAGTAATGCTAACTACTGTGTCACCATGCTGCCAAGTTTCCTATTCTCTGAATTAATTCCCTTTTAGTTTCTAATTGTGACCCCTTGTCCAGGTTTCATTCTTGATAGTGAAATAGACCCTATCTTCACTGTTTATTCTATATTCTGAGCTCAAATCTCCTCTCAATATTATCTGCGCTAGACCAGGGATGGCCAATGTTGGTCCTAGTGTATCACACTTCGGCTGTTTCTTTTTGGGTCACCTTTCAAGGATCAATTTGTAAAGGTTTGGAAGTTATGTAGTTTCTTAATCAATTTAGTAAGTAATCAAAAATTCATATTGCTGTAAACAGGGTATACGTGAAACTTTTGCTTTAGTGTAGAAACAAGTAAACCAAAGGTCTAAAGAAGCAGATTGATTAATAGCAATAATTAGCACAGGTGATTTTGTGCTAATCTGGAACAGAAAACTTCGGATAAAGTGGTCTCCAACAACTAGGGTTAGGAGTCACTATCTTAAGATGGCATATACTGTATATTTTATGCATTGGATATCTTATATACATTGTATATACATATACATATTGCATCTCATATACTGTATATATACACCTGAAGAAGGCTTCACAGCCAAAACTTTGTTTTCTCTCTTCTCTTTTCAGCATGGAATAAACCTATTACTTGTTCTTTTACATCTTATAAACCTTTAAGATGACAAGCTGTTTCTTATTAATCAATATTCAGCCTATGTGCACTCATCACTTTAGATTGCAATAGCTTTTAGTTTGAACCCTTAACATTCTATGAATGAAGTTATTAAATGCTTTCCAGAAATCTCAATCTTTTCATGCTTTAGAGTTTTCAACTCTTTCTTGATGTTTCTTGAGAAAAAAATACTTTTTATAAATCTGTATTAGGCATCTCTTAAGGCACCATTGTTTTGTAAATATTCTTCTAGCTTAGTTGTATCATTTCAATAACTTAATTGTCAATGCACAGTAGATTATTAATAACAGGCTGTAAAAGACTACTATACCCCAAAAAGTCTAGTTTTCATCCTTTATATACTGTATGAATTGATGTTACATCTGTAATTCTCCAATCTCCAATGTGTACAGCTCCCATTTTTAGTGACGGTTCGATTAAAAGGCTATGAATGACATCCTTTATACAGGTGGGATTTTAGCACTGCTGCCTCACTGCTCTTGGGTCCTGAATATGATATTAGACTGGGGCACCTTCTGTACCTCTGTATGCATGTGCCCCACATGTTCATATGGGTTTTTGCTACTGTAGGTGTTCTGGTTTCCTAACTACTTCAGACTTACCAGGAATAAGCAGCTATCTGAAGGATGAATTTCACGTATGTGCCAAGACACCATCGTTAACTGATTACAATAATAAATTACTCAGGTTTTGTGAAACTGAAAACAGTAAATCAGTCCTATAGGAGGACCAAGGAGATACCCATCCAAGCCATTTGTTCTGGTGCTGCGTTTTTCTAAGCTCAGAGCAGAAGAAAAGTGGAATAAAGTAGTTTAATTACTAATTTATTTGGCTAAGCCTTATCCTTAACAACGTACACCTGCACCCATTAATATATCTGGGTATTTGCCTGGAGAAAGTCTGGCAAATCTTGCTCAAGAGCAGGCACAACAGCAGTGTCTCACCTGGGTTTTGAACCTACAATCTTCCACTAAAGTTTGATGACAAGGCATTTATTTTAGATGAAAAACAGGATTTCATAGAAAATACCTATTTTACAAAGAGATTGTGTTTCTAATTTGTCACATATTATTAGATTCACATAATTGCCAAGATGATTCGGCTGTGCCTCTCACAGAATTCAAGATAATTTCTTGCTTACAGGGATGTTTATCATATGAAGACCCTACTGTCAATAGACTACTGCTTGTTTTTAAATATAAACATAAACCTCTATTGCATTGCTGAATTTAAGAATCCTAACAAAAATGTTTTGCATTTTAATCTCAATTCTCCACTTTGTTTTTGCAAAAAGCAAGTGTCCTGTACACTGGTATAACAGACACGGTTCTGTTTCTGCATTATGAAAGAATTTACTGAGCAGAGTCCAATATAAACATTTCGTGTTGAATTCAATAGGGTTTAAAGTGTTACTGGCTGCTTTTTGATAATGATGCCTTTAATTGTTGTACAATGCATGTTTCTTTGTCTTATCATTGACTTATGTTCTATGTTGATACAAGCATACTGCTCTAAAGAGAAGTCTTTATGAACAAAGAGCTGAATTTATTAGATGCTGCAGCTTTTATATTGAAGTTGATATCATGAAAACCAAAACCCATCATATAACACATACTGTATATACATCAATTAGATCTTTTAAAAATGCCTAGTATAACAGGTATGCACTCAACCAAGGACAATGACACAATAGCTTTATCAACATTTATTGCGGAAAACAGAAATACAGATTTTTCTTATCTTTTACAAATCCCAGCCACCAACCTACAGACATTTCTTCAAAATGGAAACAACCCATCTCCCCAATTCATATTAACTTTACCATCTCAAACAGTCACACACTTGGTTTTAAATAAACAGCAAAGCCTAGATCTAAAAAGCAATTTTACTTTCCCATAACAATAGCTGTAAAAATCCAAAAGCAAACCGTTGGACAATTTAAAAGAACATAATGTAAGAAACAAAGCAATCAAAATCACACATGATGAGACTATCACTCACAGCCACAATATTACAGGTTCGTTTACCACATTACTTGTTTAAAGTGATTTTTTCTGTTAAAAAAAAGCTTTATACCAACTCCAAAGTTCATTGTAGATCATATAACTTAAAATATTAATCAGTTTTAAAATTGTTTTTAAAAAAATATTTTTTTACCGTTTTGAATATGGTTAGTGATAGGACCTTCTAAATATACGATCTGTTCAATAATGGAAACAACGGTACATACCATATACCATGCTACATTAATATTTATCTTGCAGCACTCTGGCCAGGGAATGTTTCTTTATTTTTATTTTGTCATAATTCAGCTAAAGGGTGTAATTCTAGATGAATAAGAATAAGATTGAGGCAACATACTGATCCATAAAAAAAATCAATTTGAAAAAAAAAACACATTAAGCAAAAACTGCCTCAGCCTTCACATTAAAACCATAGACTGGTTTATTTGTTACTGGGAGCATTTACTGATCATTTTACAGCGGAATACAAATTTCCCCATTTATTGAGGCTTATGTTCCTGTTGTCTTACTGAGACAAATTTAATTCAATTTTATATGAAAAAAATATATTGTGCATTACCCACACTACACTTAAATTTTACACAATGCGATTTCTAATAACCAACACCTGATGTATAACAAAATGCTCAGTTTAAAATGTCCAACTTTTGACTAATTCACCACTACAGCAGTGCAAACAGATGTGCTAACAGGAAGAACTGTACTGTCTGCATTCTCAACACTTTGTTTTTCCCTCATGATTATGTGCTGAAAACGGTTTCTAAATTTAATTGTATATCATTAGCATTTTCGTCAAATTTTACATCTCAGTTTCTAAACAAGTGCCCCATTCCATGAAAGAAATCCTTTCTCTAGGACTAAGGTTAAACTATTATCTGAAAGTCACAAAATACTTTCAAAATAAATGCAGCAAAATATTGAATTTTGTCAAGGGGATTGGCTTTGACCAAACGTAGGCATTCTTCTTTGCTTTTCAATTTCCCTAATAAATTAGGATTTAACCCTAATCTTGATCCTCAGAAGTCTGACTGTATTTAGCCAATGTAAAGGAGAAAACATCTACTGTATGTTTTGAAACTTAAAAAAAAAGAGATGCAAGAGAAAAACAAGTGTCATGAAAGCAAAACAAAAGTTCTGATGAACAAAATTTGCATTATTTGATGATTCTTTTGATCGGCAGTTAACTACTTAAATCACTCGAGGCACAGTTAAGCCACACATAGGAAATAAAACAGCAATGGCTACACTGTAAGAAGTAGAGGGCATGTAGAAAGAAAACCCACTCCACTAATGATGATGCACAAAAAAGTCAAGCTTTGCAATAGTAAGTCAATGCAAACAATATATAAAAATTATGGGAAACACTGTTCCCGATAATTACATACACCCTGCAGTGTGAAATATGGAGGTCACTGCCTCCGATATATACACCTTGGTAGGCAAAAACTACCTTCTTTTCCACATTATGGAAGACACTGCTCCCGATAATGTTTTTTAGGATTAGAAATACAAATGTACCAAAATTTATGTCCAAGAAATTGCAAAGCTTTACTTAAAAGGTTTGGTTCATTCCCTTCTCCACTGCCAAATTCAAGCACTTGGACATTGATTGATCTTGGACTGCAGTAAAAATTGGTCAAAACAAAACTTTGCATTTAAATTGAATGTTGTCTAGAATTAACTTAAAACTCTAGAATTTCCATAAATCTGCATAAAAGAGTGAAATTTCCTTGGTTAATCTGTTGAGGAAAATAAATACCAGCATTTTAGTTCCAAAGAAGGATGTATAATTGTACAATTTGGACTAGTTTACAACACCCATAGGACAATTAAAGTTTCTGGACATAGACATTGGTAACAAGTTTATTTCAATAGCAGATGCTGCTTTTAATAAATCGACAGTATAACTGTCATAATTATGGAAGGCACTGCTTCCGATAATTATATAAAAAAAATACTATTTATAGTGAACTCTGTCACTGATAAATAAATAATGAACAAATACATATCTCAGTGCCAGGTGGTGAAGACCTTTTCTTCACATTTTTTTCCCCATTTTGGCCAAATGAAATTGGCTGGAAGGAAATGTTAAGGTTACATACTGAATAATTTAACAGGAAAGATTTGGTAACAGAATTTTGCTCTATAGGCAATTAGATACGTGTTCACAAAAACGTCAGTCTGTCTGTGAAAACAAATTAACCACAACGGAGCTCCAGTGACAAGAGTCCATCATGCAGCACCTTGGTACATACTAGAAAGTGTGCATCCATAAGTTCAAATCTGGTTAGCATGGTGGCTAAAACTTTGCAATGCTCAAACCTTAAAAGTGATCAATGTCATTTAGATGCAAAACAGCTCCCATCACAAATATAAAAAGCACAGAAAAATATCAGAAACCAGTCGCAAGATGTCTTATTCATGACCCGATATATGAAAGTACAACTACGATACAACAATGATCTACGCTTGATGCACTAAATTGTGGCAAAATATTCTTAGACTGACATGCAAGTTTAGCTTGTATAGCAAAAAGATTTTATCTTCTACTTTAAGCTAAACTTCACATACTATTTATTGGAACGATCAATCAAGTATTAATAAAGCCACATAGAGCATGGATAAAGTCATTTGCATGCTATTTGCCACTAAATTCAAAGCTTTTACCAGGTGGTAAAGCCATAATTAGGACAAAAGGCAGATCATTTTGAGTTTTCATCATGTGAAAACTTCAAAATGTTTGTCTTCACTTATACAATCAATGCGTATTTGAGTTCAGCCGAAAAGGAGACATAAGGTACAGTACCGATTTCGTTTGTTTATGTGTTCGTTAAAATTTTGGATCTATATTAGAGCGATTTGGAGGCAACTGGTGAAACAATGTTAACACACCAGTGGGTCACTGTAACTGTGAAAGCGAAGTCGACCACTCGTTTGCGAGGAACTTCAATCTAATGAATTTAATGAAGTGCCTTCCGAGTTACAAGGAAACCCATTCAATATTTTCCGAAAGGGGAGTAAAAATAAACACCAGAACTGTCCAAATCAGTGAACCTAACAGTCTCCTCTGCTCTTAAAGCAAACCACAGACACTAGCTTTACATCTCATTATCAATGTCCCACACATCCCCTGACAGCCCGTTGGCACAACCCTGGATGGTCCAGGTGGCCAGAGCAAACCAATTCTTGTACTCGTCCATACTGAAGTTTGCCGAATTTTCACGGAAAACCCCAAGCCGGTCAAGCAGAGATTCCAAGGTGTGAGGCCCAGCTCCATAGAAAATGTGACGGAAAGGAGTTTCCTTTGGAGAGACGTAGGGAGAAAGGAAGCCGTGCTCCACCTACAGAGAGATGGCACACTTTCATCCATCAAGAGCAATAACTTAACTCCAGAAGAGTGCTGGTGCCATGCAAATTAAAAAGGTAAAACACTAAAATGGGAACGCTAAAACAAAAAGAACAACTTAAAAAAAAAAAGTATCTGACAAGATTAAGTAGCATTTCTACATTTTGACATTATTTTTATTCAAGGAAAATGGGAGAGATTCTAACCAAAGGTTTTAAATCATATGTAGATGAGAAATGGATCTAATCAAATTTGGAAGAAGAAAAGTTTTTGCAAATATGATCATACTTTTGAAACCATCTAAAGTATTTAATTCAAGCAAACAGACTGCGACAGACATGGATATGGAGAGGAAAAAGGAAATAAGGAAATTACCCTCATGATGCGATCATTAATGTAGCGGGACATTGCAGCATCAGTCACATCACTGTTTTCGATGTCTTCTAACAGAGTTCTAGCTGCCCGGCTGTAGTCTCCACTACCCGATTTCAACCACTGCATGGATAACGCTCCAGGCTGTGACAAAAAAAGACAAAACAGCAACATTTACATTATAGTTCTGAAGCTACGTCAAGCAGATGCTTAGCATCATCTTTACAGGGGAAACGAAAATAGTCATAAAAACAGGTGTTTGAGTTATAAAAAGCGCAGAAAGTTTTTCACTTCTTTGAAAGTTATCCTGTACAAATCATGCCTGAGTGCTATAACAAACCTACTGTACATAAAACAGTCACATAAAGCTACACTCAAAAATGTAATTTTATGCAACATGGTTGACAACTATAACAAATACTATTGGTGTACAGTTATATCAAGGTTTGATGGTAGAGATAGGTATGCATTCTGGGCTTTTTTTTTTACTTTTTTAGTTTCTGGGCTCCTCTTTTGCTTTGCAAGACAGAAAATACTAAAATGTAATGAAACAGTTGTTCAGAGGACACACACGCATATTGACAGGAAAAAAAGGTTTAATCTCACATTCTGCAGTTTTGCACTTTCCATAACGATCCTAGACACCATGGTGCGCAGAAATAGGCTGTACTTTTCAACATCAAGTCTCAGGAGGTGATCATGTGTCAAGCGCAAAGCCATTAGACCAGCCACTTGCGCAGCAGCAACAGCAGTACTGTATAGGTCTTGTGTTCTGCTCTCTAGTTTTTGTCTGGTGTCTTCAGCTGTTCCCAGAAAATCATCAACTGGAGAATTCTACAAAATTAAAATGATGTAAGTACTCAATGCATTAATGAAAAAAGAACATCAAAATCTCTGTAACAGTGTCTAATTTAAAAACTTACCCGAATGAAACTGAATGAGACAGAGGGAATACCAGAAAACGTAAGGAAAGTATAAGCTGCATCATCCATCTTCATAGGCTCCATGCTAAAATGAACCAAGATTGACAAGGGTTTACCTAACTGACATACAAAAAGAAGCAACACATCTGTACACAACTTCGAGCTCGGTTGTTGTTCAGGTAATGTATGATTTTATGTGTACAAATACGCATCTCCAGAGGAAATTAAGGTTTTTTAGTATTTTAAATCATAACCAAGAAAGAACACCAATAATTACAAAAGAAAAAAGTAGGCTTCTCAGACTCACACTGTGTTCTCCCAGTCCTCTCCTCCCACAGCAGCATAAATGGACTGCTCACTGCTAGTTGGAGACTTTACCTGAGATTTAAAGAGATGGCATTATCTTCATATTCATAAAGTATGATGATATGGGATTATAGTTAAGATAAAAGCAGGGGTTTACCTGTTGCAATACACTCTCAATCAGGTTGTACAATAATGGACTTGCTGATGCCCGAAATGTTTCAGATCCTACAAAAAGGCAAAAAAAAAAATCTTTTATATAGCATCTTTAAAAGTAGCTTCTCAAGGCACTTTCCAGAACGAAGAGACACAACGAGAGAAGACAGCAGAATTACACAGTTACAGTGAGGGTTAAGATTACAGAAGAAACGTAAAGGGGTTGACACAGAACCAGTTAAATAAAAGTCCTTATAAAGAAGAAGGTTTTCAGCCCAGATGAGAAAGAGTTCAGGGAAGGTCACATGCCGATATCCACAGGGAAGAATCCCAGAGCTTTGGGGGCAGAACAGCAGCAGCCTGTCACCCACAGAGTGCAGACTGGCTTGCAGGACAGACAGGAGACCCGATTTAGACAAATGAAGCATGCCAGGTTGGGAGTAGGACGATAATTCAAACGGATACTGTGGTGCCAAGCCAAGCACAGCCCCTTAGGTAAACCTGATAGGAAGCCAGTGCAAGTACACCAGGGTAGGAGTGTGAATGATCGCATTACTAGACGTGGTCAGGATTCTGGACGTACTGTAGTTCCTTTAATGTGGATTTACATACCTCAGCGAGTAGGGTGATTCAGTAATCAATTAGAGAGATATTAAACCTCTCTCGTGGTGACTTTAAACATCTTTATCATTGGTGTACAGGATACTATGAAAAGTTACTACACTAGGCATAAAAAACCCCCCAATGGAAACAGAAGTATCAGTAAAACAAAATGTTAGAATATTTTAGAACTCACCCAAAACAGCTCTATCAAGGTTAATGTAAGCCACTGCTTTCAAATGCAATGAAGATAGATAGCCCTGAAAAAGAAAACAAGTGAGTAAAGCATTCAAACGCATATTGGTGGAACAAGAAAAAACTATAGTTTAGGTGTCGCTTGCCTCCTGCCACTCAGTAGCTCCGATGCTGCCAAAGTCACCAGCACTCCAGCTTGCAAAAACAATACTTCTTCGGGGCTGGTATCCATCTATTCAGAAAAAAAAAAGTTCAAAACTACACTATCCATAACAGCATTAGAATGTGAAATGACATAATTAAAACAACAAAAGAAGAAATACTGATTATTTCATCTATAAATCAATTAAAAACTATATAAAAATGTAAAATGTCCATCATTGAAGCGATTTGTGAAAGCAAATTTTGTTTTTTGCGCCTTAAAGATGGACATCAAGTTGTTCCTTCTTTGCTCCATCCTTCGCTCCTATCTCCATGTCCAGGAGTGATCAAGTGATCAAGCAACAGTTCAGGTCTGTATGAGCACAGATTCAGGTTACTGTACGAGCCCTGCATTTTTCTTACCCTTGGTCACCATCTCTGAAATGGCTCTGGCAAGTTCTACCAGCAGGGCTGTGCCTATGGTAGACTTAGCAAAACCTGGGCCCCAGGCATCCCTCTGAGCACCAATCACAACATAGCGATCTGCAAAATAAAATGACAGGGAAGAATGAAAAATTAAATCAGCTGGAAAAAAAAGGAGGATTGAGGGGTAAATTACATGCTGAAATTCTGCTACATTTTTAATTACAAATGTTTTATGTATATGTGGAGTATCCAAATCTGGCCCTCAAAACCTCTTTACACCATTCTGGAGCTCAAGCAGAACATCGGAATCAAAAGAGATCCATAACGAACAATAAAATGTACTTCAGGGCACAATACGCATATTGTGAAAATGGTTTACTCGGATATATCAGCAAAACACCACTTTTAAAAAGTTACTTTTTGTAAACTAAAGGAAATGGAACATGTACTGTAGGACAAAGTCAGATCATACTTACATATATTTTCCCTTTTACTTTACAACGGAAAAATGACACTCAGAGGTTTGGGAGGTCTTCGACCTTCTGGACAAGGCAAGACTTGAGATCTGATAATGATCTTACTCGTAATATTTTTGCAAATATTTCTTTTACTGCAAAGATGTGGACCTTCAGTCACAGAGATTTGGTAAATATACGTTCGAGCCTTAGGAAATATCTGCAATATTACCTGGGTCAAAGTTTCCCTTGATTACTCCAAAAATATTGTGTATCTTCTTCTCAAGAAGGACATTATTCACTTTGACTTTCACTCTATCTGTGTCAGCACCCAGCCTGTAGCTCACTCCATCAAAGGAACCCATCCATCCAGCAGGTACATTATCACCTTTCATTTTCCTGTATTAAAAAAAAAAAGGATTAAAAAAAAAAAAAAGACACCACCAGAAACGTCTGCAGTCTTTCAAACTCCCTTTAAATGTTTTCTCATGGAGACTATCACGCCTGAGCCTTGTGTTAAGTAAAACAGTGCTTTCTGGCTCAGAGAAACCACATGTAGCTACAGCTCAGAAAATAGTTAATATAATCGGGCAGATATTCTCACAGAGTTTTTATAAAGGTTTGTAAAGTAAACACACTTAAATGACAGGTTTTATAAGACATTAACCCACATAAGAGATTATTTCAAAGCACTTGAAACACACATCCTAACATAACACCATTGTTACCAAAGTAAAAACCCATCTATCAACCAAGGCCAGTCAAACAGGAACATCTCAATTCCTTTCGCACTCCAGGAAAGCACTTCACACATTAGCCTAAAGATAAAACTATAAAAAGATGGTCATACTGTAGCAGCTTCTTTCCAGAATCAGCGCTAATGGTCTGAGCCAAGATTTTTGGTAATCCGGAAGATATTGATGGAGGAAACTGAGTGTGATTGAAGGAAGGAAATCCTGGGGTATAGGGATCTCCAGAACCCAAGTGAACCTTTTAAAAGACAAAAAAAAAGCAAATTAATAATTTAACACCATTAACTAGGTGATAAAACTCAAATATATTATAAAGAATATTGTTAACCAGTCCCTGTTTTGACTGCATATATAACTTGAAGCCAGTTCAAATGGAAAAATAAAGAGTTAACACTATATAAATTGCTTGCCTTTAGGGCTGAAACAATTATTCGATATTCTTCACGTCAAAAGTTTTCCCCGCACAATTTACATCAAAAAGACGAAGACCCAGGACGTGCTTGTATTCTTCATCTGCTAACCAGAGGTCACCAAAAAACGCATTTATCTGGCATTTTGACGTGGGCGCTCGGCTAGTTTACAGCTCACTATAAAATTCCAGCGAGAGGGTCTGACGCGACACTATAATGTGTAATGTTAGCAACGGCGATGCTGCAGTCTCTTTTTAAAAGTTTGCTAACTTATGAACAAAATTACGATAGAGCCATGATCATCAGGGGTCACTTTAAAAACAATTCCACAACTTTTCCAAAACTTAATGGATATTTTATCATGTTCCATAACTTTTCCAGGATTTCCATGACTGTGGGAACCCTGGATATTATCTACATGTTGATTAATTATTTATCAGTGCTCATCACCACAGCTCACATTAGCAAATCCTACAGTCAATCAAAACATTTACTTGCTGCTGTTCTGAGTTCACAGTTGGATTTCAAATGACTTATTTGAAGTTTATTTTGAACTTTGATTTGAATCCTGACTTATTTTTTTATATTTAACTCTGAACATTTTGAATTTTATTTTTGCACAAAAAAACATTTTTTCCTGAAATTTAAGAGCGAAAGACAATGCAGTAAGAAATAAGAAGTTGAAACTTTTTCAAAGTTTTGTGTTTCTCGTTATTTTCTTGAATAAAGGAATATGGCTACGGAACAATGCCAAACATTATTCGTCACAGCCTTTCTCATTTACAAGCCATACATTTTCAGCTAAGCTAATTAATCGATTAATCCTTGTTATATTCGCCTGAATATTCGATTATCAAAATGTGTCTGCTGCAGCCCTACTTGCCTTACATTTTAGAGAAGAAAGGGGGAATCAAATGCATTAATTTATGCCAGGCAGAACACAGTATCTCCAAATGAAGTTCAATATATCTTCCATTAAATATTTTTAAAGGTTAGGAATGCTAAGAAAGCGACTGCATTTTCTTTCCTATAATGTTCCTTCTCACCATCAACTGGCCAGTATACTTCACTACAAAGTCCCTTCGAGCTCCAGATCTAAAACCGCGAAAGGAGCGACCCATTTCAAGCCCTGCTCTGGAGCCAACACAAGTGATCTCTGGGTACGCAGCCAAGTAGTAGTAGTCCTTCAGATGCCCTCAGTACTCACATGGCCGAAAAGGTCAGTTGTCGGCGGCAGACTTGCATAATCAGATCGATCTGGGTATATTAAAACTGCCGCAGCTCTCATTTTCTCAGCGTTTGCAACCTTAAAGACAACGGAAAACAGCTCTTCAATTGTGTTTTCAAGATCAGGATTGCCTGAAGTCTCAATGAACAATTTACAGACTAATAAAGCAAGAATTGGATGCACTGTCCAAACTTGCTCATTTGGAGTTCTAATACTGTCTAATGATTAAGACATACAAGCGGTTCTAAGACACGCATAACGTGTAGTTAAAAGAACTGCAATAGAAAGTTATATGCTACAGCCTGCTAACACTGGGGGATTTGTATTAACACACAAGTAGTAACTAAACAAAACTATATACATTAATATGGCTAGAAAGCGCAAACATAGAGTTCTGGCTTTTAAAAGTGATTTACATTTAAAAAAAAAAGAAAAAAAAGACTGTTCTTTTGAAAAAGCAACATTTTCATTTTTTTTTCTTTGGAATGTTTCAGTACTTCTTTGTCCAGTTTGAAATAAGGCAGATTCACCTTAACTCACTGTTCAGATATAAAAATATACAAAAAAAAAAGGTTTATTCACCTTTTCTGCAAAACTTAGTTTTCCAGCTCGAAGCAAGACAACAGTGCCATTCAACTGTACATCCTGAGCGACCAAGGCTTTAAAATCTTCTGGTGTGCCATAGTTGCAATATATCACTCTGCCCTATAGAAAGGAAACGGTATTTAACATCCATCATCCATCCATTTTATAGCGGCTTCTTCGATTTCAGGGTCACAAGGGAGCCAGAACCTATCCCGGCAGTGTATACCCCAGACGGAACGCCTTTCCATTGTAGGGCACACACTCACGCCAGGCCCAAATTTCCCAGAAGCCAATAAACCTAACAATATGTCTTTGGACTGTGGGACAAAACCAGAGCACCCACAGTAAAACCACACAAACATGAGGAGAACATATAAGCTCCATGCAGATAGATAGATAGGTAATACTTTATTAATCCCATAGGGAAAGTGATGATAGATTTAAGGACAGCACAACTGCCCCAACAGGGACCTGAACCCTGGACCCTCAGATTAAAAGTCTGACTTTTAACTACCGACTGAGCTTTCCGGGCTCTAAATAGATAGAACCCCAGGAATTTAACTGCTGCACCACCCCGCCATTAACTGAATATTTTTTGCCTTATTTCATTACATAATTCCCAACAATTTTACATATAGTGTCGGCATATAAAAGTGCTTTTAAAAAAAAAAAGCTTCCCGAGATGTTCAACCCATGGGTTGTGTTACAAGACAAAGCACATTTAAAATTTTACCCAGCAGGTGCATTACTACCTGAAAAAAAACTGTACAGAAAAAACTGTACAGAGGCTATTCAATGAATTCAATGCGTTATTGCCTTAATTCAATGTGTTACTGAATTTCTTCATAAATCTCTTCCTTAAAAAAAAAAAAGAGTGCAATTGTGTTTTCAGTGAAACAAATTCTGTGCAAGACAGATGACATTTATTCATCAATAATGCCTCACCTAAATGAACTGAACATTTAGCAATCGACAGAAGGGTCATTTAAATAACTGAAGATATGGGTTATCAATGGTCAGATCTGCACTGATGTCAACACAATGCTCTTACCATAACTTCTCCAGTGGCACTGTACGCGAGATATCCAGTTGGCGAAGCAATCGTTTCTTCACGGTCCCCACTTCCTACATAAGTAACTTTGTTTTCAGAACTACAATTGAGAAAAATAAAATAAAGAAGCCACAATAAGACAAAAAGTAGCCACAGATACTGTACTTGCTCAGTGGCCAAAGCTGTATTGCAAGGATATACAATCATATAGTAAATTCCTACTAACCTTCCAACTTGAACCTTGACGAAGTGTTCATCTGTCCAGGGTTTCATGTCATAACTTTTGAATTTCTCATACACTGAAATGGCAAGCCTTTCATCTTCTTCAGAGCCAGCCTCATGGCTTCCAGAAATGAAATCCCTTTAAGAAAGAAACCGCAGAAACTGCTGAGCATTTTTATAGCAGTTTTTTCTGGAGGGATCTCCAGAAACATCTACCCATTCTTTTACAATAACCACTTTATCCTATATATCGCCGCAGTGAATCTAACCCTGCTGACAACGGTGGCAAAGCAGGATACACCCTAGACAGAACACCAGCCCACCTCCCAAAGCCCACACATGCAGGGAACAATTCAGAGACACGGGTTACCCTTGACAGCATGTCCAGAGAAAAACCATGTGAGAACGTGCCAACAGAGAACCATTTCAAGAAATTTAGAAAATAAAAGCAAAAGGGAATAAACAAGCTTCTTGATCACACTAGCCAGAAGACAAAATTGATCTAGTGCCACCACATGCTGCGTCAGTCAGTACTACAGTATGTAACTTTCTGTATTTAGGACACAATATCACTTGATTGAGAATGTACTATTTTGAATTCAAGTGACTACCTGCATTATAGCAAGCTTCAAGTCTTCAGTTACCACTGGGCTTCTTCGTTCTACTTTAAATACAATGCATTTACATTTTTTTGCATTTTGATTTTTTTGTAATCCACTACATCTTACGTATTTGTCATCAGGATTTCATCCATCCGTACAAAGTCGACATTTAGCCTTTAAGGCCGGAACCCTGTACCTCAATTTTAAGAAAAGGGCAATTGACATATACATTTACCTGATGCTATTCATGAAGGTGCTGGTAGTTATTTTTTGACCGAGCAGGCGCTTCAGGTCACTCCAGTCGAGAGTAAGATCCTGTTCCGGTAGGGTGTCGGGGAGGTCATCAGTAATTTTATCAGCCAGAGATGTGAGAGACTGATCCGTAGGGCAGAGCAGGCATTCCTTTTGCCTACGGTTAGCCAAATAACCAATCAGAAATCCTAGAAGATAAGAGCAAAAAACATGAGTGATACTCTGATTGCCATTTACAAAACAATATATATATATACACATACATACACACACAAGAGGGCTCCTATATTATTAACTTGGAAGCTCTACGTCTCAGCTCATTTGGAAAAAACAACTGAGGGCTGGGATTAATTGGGTATAAGAATCGTCTGTGACTCTTTAGGGACAGTAGCTGCAGACTTGTATGACAACTGTGGTGGAATGCAGTTAAAGCTGAGAGCAGCAGGCTGGCACTTCTTTGCAGAAAGGGAGCAAGAAACAAGCTGAAAATGTGTTGAAGCTGATGGATTTTTTGCCTTTTTCACAAAATGTCTGAACGTGGGATTCTTTCTACTGTAAAACAAATCTAACTAGATAAGCTGAATGTACTCGTTTGTAATTATTCTTACATTGGGCGATACAACCAAGAAACACGCCGCCCTTACGATCACTTATAATGCTCCTGCATAGCAGTATTCAGCTTGCAGTGTTAAAAAAAAGATTGAATATGTTATATACCATATTTTGTCTCAAAGGCTTAACTGGTGGGAACACCAGGGTACATAATGTTCCTTCTCTGTCCTCATACGTGAGCTGTGATGTCAAATAAAATTTGGTAGGTATGAATTAAAACATATTTCTGCAAAACAACTTCCCCCCTTGAAACAGAAAAACATTACCTATGAGGAAGAGGAGCACTGTTCCAATGATCAAGAAGCAAACATTTTTAGGACTTCTGCTCGACTTGTTGACATGAACCACTGGATGATCTCCAACGGAATTCCCAACTTCCTCATCTGCATCGGAGTTCGACAGTTTCATCTCCACGTGACTGTTTTCCCCTTCCATGTTCTGGGCTAGGCTGAAGCGAGTGTAGGAACGGGGCTCCCCACGAAACTACAAGAAGAGCAATGGTACATATGAGACGCAATGGTACGTATGAAGCTGGAGACTTCACCTGAAGACAAGCAATGACACACTGACAATTCTCCTGTTTTTAATCGCTGAAAGCAGAAGCTCCTCTCAAAGACCAAATCTGATGGGGGTTTTGTTTCCATGCCAAAAAGAGAACATCATTTTTTTTAGCTTGAAGAAGAACAAGCAGAGGATTGGAAACTGAAAAAACTTTGAATACTGAACTATTTTGTTATGTACAGACTCAGTCTGTATGGATAGGAATT